CAATTACCCCAACTACAATGACCCCAATTACTCCAATTACCCCAACTACAATGACCCCAATGACTCCAATTACCCCAACTACAATGACCCCAATGACTCCAATTACCCCAACTACAATGACCCCAATGACTCCAATTACCCCAACTACAATTACCCCAACTACAATTACCCCAATGACTCCAATTACCCCAACTACCCCAATGACTCCAATTACCCCAATGACTACAATTACCCCAATGACTACAATTACCCCAACTACAATTACCCCAATGACTACAATTACCCCAATGACTCCAATTACCCCAATTACTACAATTACTCCAATGACTCCAATTACCCCAACTACAATTACCCCAATGACTACAATTACCCCAACTACCCCAATTACACGAATGACTGCAATTACCCCAATGACTCCAATGACCCCAATTACCCGAATTACTCCAATTACCCCAACTAATGACTCCAATGACCCCAATTACCCGAATTACTCCAATTACACCAACTACCCAATGACTCCAATTACCCCAATGACTCCAACTACCCCAATGACTCCAATTACGCCAACTACCCCAATGACTCCAACTACCCCAATGACCCCAATGACTCCAATGACCCCAATGACCCCAATGACTGCTGCAGATTTTTGGTCAGTTGCAGTTGCCCCTTTTGATGGAGATGTGATAATGTGACGATGATCTTTATCTGAGAGTAGCCTCCCGGGGCTTTGTCTGGGTCAGCAGATAGAAAGATGTCACCGGCACTCCAATCCAAAGAGGGAGAGGGGGAGAGCGAGGGGGAGGGGGGGGAGAGCGAGGGGGTGAGAGGGAGGAGAGAGGGAAGAGGAATTCTATCCACTCACAGAGCTGATCTTGTATCTATAGCCTTCCACGAAACGCGTTGCCTGAGCATCCCCCGCAGATACGAGATCAGCTCTGTGATTGGATAGATCTCCGTGTTACTTGCTCCAGGATTCGGGTTGATATATCCAGTGGAAGTTGCAGCTGAGAGAAGGAGACACAATGGAGCGGATTTCCACTGCAACCAATCAGCTTCTCTGTCCCATTTTCATATCTTACCTGAGCCAACTGAAGAGAGAAGCTGATTGGTTGCCGGGGGCTCCTGTTTTGATAAATCCCCCCCCTGGTATCCTGAGCTCCCTCTTCTCCTGTGAACGCGGATTCCTCCATTACGGCCACTTTGTAGAACATTTCTGGAGTGGACATTTGTGACCGCCTGTCCATAGATGCCCCCCCCATCTCAGGGGCATTCCTGCGCTGGGCCGTGGTTGGTGGAAGGGAGGCTGCTGTGCGTCAAGCAGTTTCATAACGCAGGTGTTGGTGTGAGGCAGAGGCCATGTTGTGATAAGAGCCGCCAGTGTTTGGGGTCAGGTGAGTGTCCCGCTAACGTCACCACGGGAGCTGGAAGGCGATCAGTGCGCACGGGACCGCTCAGCCGTCCAGGACTTCCATTAACCTCTTCAAGGCCAGGACTCACCCTCAACCCCTCCTTTCACTACTTTGTTTAACCCCTTTGAGCCCAGAGCAATGTTTCCGTTCCATAGAAGGAGGAGAAGATCCATCCAAAGTGAGGAAGACTTTCGGGTCTTCGGGTTCTGTGTGTCGTGGCCGTCAGATGGACGTGCTGTGCATGAGCCTCCTGCGTCCTGCGTCCTGCGTCCATCATTCACCTCGAAGTCGGGATGAAGATCTCGGGCCAGCGTTCTTCCCACAGCTCAGCACGGCCAATAAGAGGAGATCCCCTCCCCCTCCCCATGTTACAGAGGGGCCACAGGACATCTATACTGACATTGGAAGCTGCTGCAGGGAAAGTCGACTAACTAGGAGAATGTATTATAATTCTGATTGCAAGCTCTGCGGGTTAGTAATCCCGCCTCTGTTTTCCGGTGTTATTATCTCTGTCTATAGCAGGATTCTTTTTGCTGCAAGGCTTCCCTAGAAATAAAAGTGGGCTTCAGTTCCAGGGGTGGTATTTTGGGGTATTCATTTGTTTGGGGGGGCTTGTTGGTTAGTGAAACCTCCCTCCACTGCTGCATGGTACATGTCCTCCAGGTGCCTATTCTGTACATTAGTTTCCATATTAGCACTAAAGACAGCCCGTCAGGATGTCCCTCCCCCAAATAACGTTGTGAAACGCGTTGGTGATTGCTGTCACCCACCATCTTGACTGATTTACACAGGAGCTCCAGAGCGCAGATCGGGGGGGGGTTGGTATCGAGTCCCACATTGTGTGGATGAAGCAGATACTCGTGCAGAGGTGTGGCTCCCTCCAGAGGCGGGGCTCCCTCCAGAGGCGTGGCTCTCTCCAGAGGCGTGGCTCTCTCCAGAGGCGGGGCTCCCTCCAGAGGCGGGGCTCCCTCCAGAGGCGTGGCTCCCTCCAGAGGCGGGGCTCCGGAACACTGAACAATGAAAGCTAGAATTGGGCTTTATGATGACGCCGTTTGTGGAACTATTGTTTACTGTTTTGAGGTTGAATAGACATAGAAGGGAATCCATCAAAACTGGAACTGGTACCCACGGCAACCAATCAGCTTCTCTCTTCAGTTTGTTCCGTTAAGATTTGATAATGAAAGAGAGAAGCTGATTGGTTGGCGTGTACAGCGGCTCCAGATTGGATCAATTCCTCTGATTGTATTGTAGATATGTAATGATTCCATGTGAGTTGACACGGAACTCCGAGATCAATCCTAAAACTCCCTCCGAGTCCCCGAACAACAATCATCTCTGACACTGTCCTTCCTTCTGGAGGGTGACTACGTCTGTTCCCCATGGTCCCTGTGTGTGTTGTAATCACCGCTCCAAACTCCGCCCCCTGCGATGGACTACAATCTCAATACAAATCAGTAAACCAAACCTGAGATTGTAGTCCATCCGGGAGCTTGGAGCGGTGACTACAACACACACTGGGACCATGGGGAACAGACGTAGTCACCCTCCAGAAGGAAGGACAGAGATGATTGGAGGATGCACACATAAGAGACATTGTTGTTCGGGGCCTCAGTTGGAGTTTTAGGATTGCTCTCCGGAGGTGACTGTCACTTTAATGGAAGAGGATGTCAGCGCTGCCTCTAGTGGTGAATACAGGAAGTGCCGGAAGACACAATGTAACTCTGATCCCATGGTGACATTTCCTCGTGTCGGTTCATCTACAAGATACATGAACAACAATAAAATCCCATTAGAGGCTCCGAGTCTCCCCTCCCCCAACTTCATTCAACATGGAGAGTAAGAAATGTCTGGATTGGGACTTCGAGAGGCAAAGCTGGAGATCTCAGCGGCTGCGACATGAACGGCCCCCATCCTCTCGCTCCCACA